CTTATCCTGCCTGGATAATATTTCTGTGGTTCTATTTTACTTTTTGTTTTATTGTCCTAAAGGTACTGGCTTTCCTAAATGAAACAAAAAACTGTAAAACATATGATTTACTCCTTCAGCAATTACTACATTCTTCCCGTTAAAATATAATCCCATGTGGTCGGAGGTTCAGAGCCGCAGCTCACGCCTCCTGCAGAACTGAAACCCACCACTGCTCCCTCTCCTCTGTCTTCCTCCCTGTTGTCCAGCTGTATGTATTCAGTTAAAATAATAAAGGTTGGAAGACTGCCCTGTACTTGAAAAAGAAAAAACTCACTTGGCTGCTCTGTGGGCTGGAGAGTTCAGTTGGAGTTCACAGGAGGCCTGCTCTGTCTGACTTCCTGTTTTCGCATTAATGTCTTGATATCAAACAGGCAATAGAAATCATTTTGAGATAAAGATCTGTACATCATCAGTAGCATGGTATCAGTATCAGTGGCTGCATGAAATGATGTAATGAAGTGGGACCTATTTTCTGTCCTTGTGGTACGTGGGAATATATTGACACTTAATTTCCAACAGCCCACACTGCGTCTGTGGAGAAAAATTGCCAGCAGGACTGATATATGTCAAATTTATTAATAATATCTCAAGAATGGTCAAAAAAGTTTTTACAATTTCCTGGTAAACTGTATTTTCCTCCCTCAAGCTCTAAATCAGCCGATGGAGGGACTCCAGGGGTGAGAGGTCAGGGCTGCATCACAACATCAGACTTTCATATTCATGATCACCTTCTCCTGATGACGATGTGGAATGCTTTTCATTCACACTTTGGTTTTAGTTTCAGATGATATCTTAGGCATTAAAGTCTGCAAGGGTCACGTACAATGTTTTTGAGCAAGTGAATCACATTTTTAGTCTCTTAAGTTTCTCAACTTGGAAAGAAAACATTTAATGAAAAAACGTTTCTGTTCAAATAATTTCTTTTTGACGTTCCTGTTTTCTGGGTTAGGGTGCAGATTTTATAATATCAGTGTGATCGATGTCCCACATATATGTATAGATGATAGAATTCGTGTTATGTGTAAAATGACATGTTTGTTGCTGCTGCCTCTGCTGGTCACCTCTAACTGACTCAGGAGACCACTGGACTTCTCTGAAATTGTTTTCTGAGCTGAAACCATTTCCTGACATACACTTATTCTTAAATCTAACAATAGGAGCAAAATGATGCCGCTCTGAGAACTGTGCAAGACTTGAGATCTGCATTTAATGTTTTGATCAGACACCCTTTCATTTGGCTTTAGCAGCTGCAAACATGGACTTAACTAAAGTTACACGCATTAATCAAAGTAAGGACATTCCATAGTGTAAAAACTCTGATATTTAAATCTGCTGTCGGTGTTATTTGAACATAAATGTAAATTAACATTAATGTGTCCTATGTGGGAACATGAATAGATTTGCACTGCACAATACAGAAACCAAAGTGCACTCTGGGTATGGCACATCACATTCACAGACTAAATGTCGATCAATGTGTTTTCTGCTATGACTTGACCTGCATCATAAAATGTGTTTCCAAACAGTGCATTAACCTGAGTGTGCTGTCATCAGAGTGGTGGTCTCCAGGGTCAGTCTGGACCTCAACCTCCCCCAACCAGGATGGTTGGCTCCTGAAAATCCTGGCCACCAAAGACGGTGGAATCAGATTGTCTACAGGTCTAATTTAATCTGAAGCTGCGAGGTCCCTGCGAGGCGTGGTGTCTTAAGTGTCCTACAGTACGACAGTTTAAACAGATTAAGTGACTTGTCAGGCTGGGACAGGATCATTCTATCCTCAGCTCTGTGAGTCCTGTCAGCAAACTGACAAGTTGTCTGAATAAACGATGCTGGTGCCTCTCTTGTTGTTTTTTACTCGGATTAACTATATGATACATATGATTTATTATTGATAAGAAAACAATAATCCTTGGGAGTCATTTAAAAGGTTAATAAACTGTTGGAGGGAGCTGCAGCAGAAAACAAATGGTGAGAAACTGAAGTGTGCATGTTTGGTTTTGATACTTAGAGAGAATTGCACCATCTGCTGTGCTCGTATTTCATCTTTTTGAAGATTAGTGGTGACAAATGTAATCACACTGCAAGAGTTGACATGGTGCATTTATACAATAGAAGTTAAAGCTGACAAAAGATATTTAAATTCTCTCATGGTTTACAGAGCTTCAAGCTCTTTTTAAGAAAGCTAACTTACAGTGTATGTACAGATGTAATTTCACATGCAGCTTGAACACAATTAGAAGATATATATATATATTAGATAAGTCATAACATTTTTAATATATGAAAAATAGGCATGTAATATGATTTTTATAGTAAAGCTGTTAGAATACTGTAGGTACAACAGTATTCCACATTAAAATTGTCAGTTGGACACTACTGTTAACAGGTAGTGGTAGGTGGCCAAAACACAGATCTACCTCAATGTCTCTGTGTTTCTAACATATACTGTATGCACTTATCGTACAGTTCCCCTATGTGCCATTCTTTCTAAAACATATACAGTATTAAATATCTCTTCCTTTACTTGAATTTAAAAAGCAAAGAGGAGCTGAGTCTGGCACAGCGTCCATCTGGCATGTCACCATCAAATCTGTGCTGTTAACACAGCAGGACCAAATTTACAGTTTCTGGGACGGCAGCAGATTATGTAGGATCGAAACTTGGCTTTGCTTTTCTTTCATTGCTATTGTTGCAGTAGATGGACTCAAAATACTATGTCAGACTGCATTGTATAGTCCGGGGGAAGTCATATTGCTAGTTTCAGCTGAATGGAAGTGGACTCAGTGGTACGCCGACACACTCCCAGTGAGGTTTCCAATTGCTTTGTTTGGTTTTTTACTTCTGCACTTTCTGATTCATATGTGCGGCCATGCAAGGCTGCAATTTGGTGGGGGTGAATGTCTACCAGAGGGCAAGATACAGTTTCCCCTGCAATCAGCAGAGAGGAGACAGATAGACAGATGGATGGTGAAGAACACAAGGCTGCATGAAAAGTGACTCACATACAATTGTATAATCAGGGTATATTAAAGGAAGGAACATCACACCCTCATTGCCGCAAGGAGCCATGTGTGTACTGTTGCTTAATGGTTGTGGGAACCTGCACACTCCTCCCACCCTCATACATAACACATGCACTGTCCTGATTTGAGGACACACTATTCATTTCAGTCGTGATGTTGCAGTGATAGACAGTTATTTCTTCATTTTTGGCAGTGTGCTTTCTTCTGGTCTTTAGTCTGGAAATCACCCAGAGAACGCGAAGATGAATTGATCATTTTTAATTTGACCACTTGTAGTAGAGGTGGTCTTTGAGTGGTGGGATGGGAGCAGGGCTGAGCAGCACTGACTGTGCCTTTGATAAAACACATAAAGAAAATAACCTCTATTTCTATAAATATCAAACTGCACCACATTAAAAATATCACAGTCGAACTTGTTATGTGCGTCACTGTTGACCCGTAATATAGATGAGATCTGTATATAATGCCTGTGGGCCTTATGGTGCTCAACACAGACTACAAGGTAACACATTGGTGTTCCACTGTCGGAGGTGATGATGGTTCTTGTGGTCCCAAACTACGCAAACTGGTCCACTGGACAACCCTGGAAGAGAAGAAGCAAAGCAGCTAAATGAATCAAATGATATATTATGGATATGCATGATAATATTCCTAATTGATTTCATTGTGGCATATCAAACTGTATCCTTAAAAAGTGTAACCACAGTGTAACCAAAACTGGAACAGCTAAAGAGAATGCAGCCATTATCAATGGATCTCTTACTCCCATGCAATTGTTGACTTATGGCTTTGTAGATAGTGTACAATGAACTATTATGATTTACTATTATGATGATGATGATTATTATTATCATTTGTAGTAGTAGTAGTATCTATCCATCCATCCTTTATCTATACCACTAGTCCATTTTACACATTATGGGGGGGGGGGGGTTATTGTTATTAGTAGTTGTTGTAGTAATAGTAGCAGCAGTCCTATCAGTAGTAGTATGATAAATAATATTAGTAGTAGTAGTAGTATCCATCATTTATCTATACTGTTTATCCTTTTTACATTTTTTAACTTTTTGGGGGGGTTGGGGCCAATGATTATTATAGGTAGTAGTAATTGTTTTTGTAGTAATAGTGGTAGTAGACCTATTAGTAGCAGTATGAGAATTAGTATTAGTAGTAGTATCCATCCTTCATCTATACCGCTTATCCCTTTTATGGGTTTTTTGAGGGGGCGGGGCTGGGGCTTATTATTGTTATCAATATGATATCATTATTATTTGCAGTAGTAGTAGTAGTAGTAGTAGTAGTAGTAGTAGTAGTAACCTAGTATATTCATTGTACAAAGCAGGTTCCTGTACGTCCATGCGTATGTGTGTACTGAGCACGCGCATGAGTGGGGCTGACTTCATTTCCCAGAGTGCACCGCGGCGCATGATGTTCCCAACAGCTGACAGACGGTGAAGCCTCTGCCTGAGCTGTCGGTGGACTCTCCGCTCGTCGGTGGCCTGAACGGACAGAAAACACAGACCCAGCGTCAGCGGACTGGACCGCCTCGCGCCCCGGGGGCCGCCACCGAGCATCTGCGTTTGTATTTCACAGAAAAAGAAAGAACATTCGCATTTCTATCCCCACACGTTGGGCTTCCATCCTCTGCCACAGATCGGGAGCTGGGGACATTTGGTGTCAGGGAACTTCCACAATAGGTCGCCGCCGCCGCGTCGCTCTGACGGCTGCATATGTTGCACCGGAGCCCCGCGGTTTGACTCCAGCTCCTTCCTGCCGCGGCCCCGATGCTGAGGAATGGATAGCGTGTCTGTGAAAGGTGGGAGGATGGTCCGGAGCGACGACCACCCTCAGCCCGAGAGGGACGGCGGCCGTGGTGGTGGCGGCGGCGGCGGTGGCGCAGCGATGGCCGCGCTTCACCAATGCGAACTCATCCAGAACATGATTGATATCTCCATCTCCAGTTTACAGGGGCTGCGCACCAAATGCGCCGCGTCCAACGACCTCACGCAGCAGGAGATACGCACTTTAGAGGTAATGAGCTTTTATTCCCCCCCCCTTGCAGACATGTCACACAGATGCGTCCACGGTCGAGTCAAACTGCGGAGTCATGAGCCCCTCGAACACAGGCTGGATATTGGCTGAGCGTGTTTTCTAGCTGCCGGGGTGAGGGTGTCTCTGGAGCTCCGCTGCCGCTGCTTTATTTCTCCACGATAATCCCCACAGATATCAGTGATCCACTTAGGATCTCTGCGTGACCTCCTTCTCCTGGAGGTGCACACATTTGTCCGGGTAGTAGCTGGATCCAGCCTGGCCCTAATGGCACACGTTCAATAATCTCACACTGCTGTTATTCATGTGAACCCCCAACTGCAGGCCCCCGACGCAAACACAACACAAAGCCAAATGCACGACGTGTTCCATGTGTGTGTCCTGCTCCGTGTGCGCGCAGCTCTCCTCCTGCATCTGGATCTTGGATGCAGATTCAGCTCGGTCGTGATGGGATGACTTGACATTGCTTTTGCGCAATAAGAGCCGCACGTCGCTTTGTTGGGCCTCAGCACATCACAGCACAGCCTTCCAGGCGGTACAATAGAGGAGTCATGCCGTGGTTAACATGCTGCGATCAGCAGAGGATGCACACTGTGTTTTCTGCTCCCATCCCCTCAGCCATCTCATTTAAACACGTTCCTATAAAATTCAGATGCAGATTAGAAATGGTACATCTTATGTAAATGATATTGGCCTATTCATGGCTTTTTTTTTGGTATTCTAATTCTCATTATTCCTATTGTGTGATTCCTATGTTTGTCAGGGTTGAAACCAGGGGTGGGGCCAGGGGGGCACTGGCTCAACCTGCAATCTGATGGTCCCCTGACGTCCCTGGGTCACTTAAACGTTTTAAACACCAATATTAGTGGGTATATGCAGGGTTTTGAAACACGGGTAAACATGCTGCCCTAATTCTAGTTGACATTTTTCCCCTGTCATGTTCGTGGTCACAAACGACAACTGAGACACTCTCTCACCTACTATCTGCCAATTTAGCCCATTCGCCCGATTAAAACCTGTGTCTACACACAAGTGAGGAACCTGTGTCTACTGAGGAGTCATTTGTCGCGGGAGTGAATGCCAATTGTATTCATTCCCATTGCAACCAGATGAAAGTAGGTGTTAGTGGGGTTTTTGATTAGCAGAAAAGGGGCTTTACTAACGATACCAAAAATATATATATATGAAAATTTGTTAAGAGTCTTTGAAGTACACAATGTGCTTTCATTTTCGAAGTATATTCAATGATGTGTGGCTCGGCTCAAAGCTATAGAGCTAACAGTAAACGAGGAAAGACTTCAATATGCACCTAACCAGATAAGGAATTGTGCATGGATGGACATATTATTGACCCCCTTTAAATTATGACCCCTTTATGGCCCCTGATATAGAAAAATCCTAACTGCACCACTGCTGATACGATCCTTTTTCATTAGGGTCAGTTTAGCTGAGACCTGCGTGGGATTAATGTCTGAATGAATCCTTTCATAGAAAGTGTACTGCTACATGTTGTTAGTAACAATACAATGAGGGGACAATGGACCCTGCTTCAGATGAGGAGGGTAAGTGTGTGTGTGTGTGTGTGTGTGTGTGTGTGTGTGTGTGTGTTGGTTAGGTGTGGGGGGGTTGATACAGTACATGTTGGTGAGATATGGATTTGTGAAAAGCCTACAAATGTGAGCTGGTAGCAGGTAGATGATTGCATCTTTGCAAAAGCTGCAGAGACACCGACACTGTGGAGACAATGGTAAATGGGTTTTCTGGCTCATGGTTTATTTAAGCGTTATACCTTGGATAAAAGGAATATTCACTCCTGATTGGCTAGAGGCTATCAATTATCCATGTCTGTTTTATTTCTGTATAACCGAACACCCCATGAACAATCGTGCCGTCGCCCCTAAAAACTAATGTTCCAGAAAGCTCCGAGCATTTAGTTTCAGACGTTCAGCGACGCAGTGACTTTGCTGAACTGTGGTTTTTCGAGGGAACCTTCAAAATGGACGAGAATCATGTCTTGTTGAGAAAATAGCCACGTAAAGCAACACTTGCGGTGTACAGTATGTGTAATCCTTGCATTTGCAGACAATGTTGCAAGACAATATGTCGAATCATGCATGCAAATTTGTGATGGTTGTATCAGAGGCTGCAGAAAGAGACAGGCATGACAAAACAGTCCTGTGCTTTTTATACGCAACTCTTTTTTCCAGTCGGATTGTTCAAATGTCTACCGAATAAGTTGTTATAGCTCCTCGCTGCCTGGCAGGCAAACAGGTGCAAGTTGGCAAGCTTCTGTGTGGGAACACATTTTCACAGGCTCAAGTAAAGCCTGGTATTATATGAAACATTTTCGGAGTTTTACTTAAATAGAAAGCAGACCAGATCAGTTTGTATGTTTGTAGTCACCCCCAAACCTCCAATTCTTTTCTACAATAAGTGACAACGAACGTGGCACATCTTCATTTTCTAAAGCAGAGCGGAACTACAGCTCATCCAACGTCGGCTTTAACTGGTTAAAGCACGTCTGGTGTGCTTGAGTAGTTTGTGCAAATAAATGTGAAGTGAAGTACATGGCGTGTTCTTCTCCACATGCTTTAACTCCTCTTTTATTTGTCGTCATGCATGCCTTCGTCACTGCGCGGAACAGGATATGATCTGGCAGAGTACTTCCTGGGGTGCGCTGTCTCGTAGATGCCTTTTGCACCAGCATTGTTTCTACGTGACAATGGACAGGCCTCGCTGGTCACACATGTTTCTTGAGGTCTCTTTCCTGTGGTTACGAGACCTTTGTCAGGGAGGATCCCTGAAAGTCAATATAGTGCACATACTGGGTCCAGGTTTTGGTGGTTTGTGGTTAAGCAAGAGTTCAGTATATCCTTCCCTGTTGTACACCGAGCACCAGAACAACTGTAACTGTTGTTCTTATCCTCCAGCTTCTATCGTGGAGACCCCTTTATATAGAGATGACATCGCCTATCACTACTCTCTGGATTTTAGTTGCTGCAGTGGAAACAAGTACAGCGCACACTGTAGTTTTCAGCACAGCTAAATATGAGCCTTGGTGTTATCGTGTCCGTTTGTTTCATTGTTTGTTTTTTGCTAGATTAAGTAAAAACTACCAAATTGATTTCCACAAAATGAGGTGGAAGGATGTGGTACTGGTCAGAGAAGAACCCATTCAATTATGGTGAGCATCCATCAAGCTTATTTCACCTTCTTCAACCAGAACGGGTGTTTTTCAACATTTTCCTTGATTTTTTTTTTTTTTTTAGAGAATGATGCATGGATCTTGATGCAAAACATCAGACCTGTTTAACGGACTGATATCTATGAGTTTTTGTAATTTGATGTGGATACATCAAGAAATCCAGCTCTAGTGATTTTTAATGTGGTAGCATAAGAGGACTGTTGAGTCCTTGGTGGAGGATTGTGCTCTAGTGAGTGGCATTCTAGTTATTTTATTTAATCTTATTTTCACTGATTATAACTTCACGTTTGCCTCAGTGGTCAAACTGTTCCTCATAAATTTCAGCTGAAGTCAAAACTTTGCCTTCAGCTGTTGTTTTCACGCCAGCATTTGCAGAACTTTCACTCTTTATTTGTGGTTTGCAGGCCTTCATCTGTGTCAGTTGCTTTTTTTTTTTCTTGTGATATGATGATAACATCTTCTTGTGGCGTCTCTGCTCAGTTTGAAGCAAGTGTGAATAGATCCAGCTGCTTGGCATATATAGTTTTATTTTAGCTGCAGGTGTCTCCTTTAATTTGTTTTATTCATTTTGACTCCTGGCACATTATTATGGCGTATTATTTATATTATTATCATCATTTTCGACTTCTGTACAGGGTAAGTGGAGATTATATGAGCACTTCCTCTTGCTTTTTTTATTCATTCGGAAATAATGATCAGCTCTTGCTTTGAAAATGATTTCCTGCCATTGAAACACAACTATTTCAACAGAAATGTAAAGAAGATACAGTGTAAGTGACAATACTGTTGCTGTTTATCAACATATTTATTTGTCTCCATTACAAACTGAAAGTTTAAAAATGTTCACCTTAGTGGTTGCAGCTATTTAGCACCTTGAACTTTGAGTGCCCTGTGAAGACACAAGAGAAAAGAGAATTTGTCACATCGAATATATTTTAATAATGGCAAGCACCTGTTTACGTATCAATGCACTTAACTTATATTATTTTCAACCCATACACTTTGTGCAGCTCTTCCAGTTTCTATTGTTTAAATCAGCACAAATGAGTCTGAACTGACTAGACAGGGACTATAGATCAGCAGGTTACTGATCAGGTTCGTCCTTAGATCCATCAGTGACATGTCTTTCCAGTGGAGCTGGCCGGGCGCAGGGTGCTGTCCCAAATAGCAGTCTTACTTCCTGTGTCTTTACTGGCACGCTCCTCCTACAGATTTCACACGTTGTGTTTTAAGAAAGTGTGACGGGGGCGTTGATCATAGATTTTGTCTGGCTTTGAAGATCTTGGCACCGTTATGATTCCAAACTTCAGCCAAATATGTCAGATGTTTCATTTCAGACGTGCACGAGACATCTCTTTAAACTATCTGTGTTTTTGTCTGAACCCAGAGCTTGTGGACGTGTGAAACTCCCATATCATTATCCAGGTGATCCCACATAGAGGATTCTGACCTGATAGACGTCATTACCGCTAACACTCTAAGGCTACATCCATGAAGCTACTATAACAATATGATATAATATATTTAACACAACATTACATATATCCCACATTTAGCAAAGTGTTTGCTCTTTGCAGGAACTATTGGGTTTCTCTAATTCTTAAGGTCTCGTCCATAATATATTATAATTTGGTGCTTTTAATCGAATTTAATTGAAAATGTCACTAATATCCGTGTAACTTTTTATGTTTTTTACTGCCGTGTATGTTGTGAAGCACTTAGTAACCTTGTTTAGATAAGTAATATACAAATAAAGTTATATTAGTATTATCATTAT